TTCCAGGATCAACATTGCAAGTGACCAATCAGAATGTTGTGACTTCGGGAAAAACCGCCATAAAACAAAAAACTGTACTTAAGCTGCGAGAAACCACCTCTGTCCGCTGATCAACGGACCCTGACCCTGACCCTGACCCTAACCCTTTAATAAACGGTAAGCAGAACTGATATTGTCCTTGCAACATTGCAATTTCATAAATGCACGAATGGCTTGGCGCGCAAAAGAATAACGTCACAACAATGTGATTGGTCACTTCCAATGTTGAACCTGGAACAACATTTTCATGATGATCTGGGAACAACACCAGCGCGACGATATCAGATCATTCCACTCTGAGACAGGATATTTCTAGAGATATTGCGCAAATGGAAGAGAGCAGTCCTACATATTTGTTTAACATGTGCATTAAAGGACGTCTCCTGGTTAAAAAAAAACAAAAAAACAAAAAAACAACGACTCCAAGATTTCTCAGTGTTACTGGAGGCCAAGGTAATGCTATCCTGAATTTAAAAGCAGAAAATTAGAGATCATCCAGGTCTTTATGTCTTTAAGACATTCCTGCAGTTTAACTAATTGGTGTGTGTTATTTGGCATGTTGTATAGTGCACTTTGAGGAATCCAGGAGAGTTGAAAAACGCTAAATAGGAATCAGTCCATTCACTGTCTGAACAGAGTTTCATCACGTTACTTTTGCACTATTATGTTCCGGCACATGTTGTTATTAGATGGCTTGATTAAGGTACACATTAGACTGACATCTGGGGCCAGAGCTGAAACTGTTCTGGGCCAGCAGTGTGTCTGCAACTGGCCCGTGGCTGCACACAACTTACACATTGCCCACATACCGCATACCCTTGTTACAAAATCAGTTTCACCCCGGTTCTTTTTTATTCCTCGGGCATCCAGAGACGGCACCAGACTCAGTCATTTTCACAAAAACCTTTATTCATCTTTATTCATCTTCATTTAACCATGCATCTTCTAGAAGGGAAGACGTGCAAGGCCGGTGTCCCTCTGCAGATCTTCACTCCTTTGTCTGTGAAACACAGTTTTGTAGAAGCGACCCTATCATAAAACCCCCATGGTGTGCTGGAGACTCTGTGTTTTCCTTAAACATTAAAGAAATACTTTCAGTATTATACAATTGAGAAGAACAGATCTGCACATATAGGATAAATCAAATCTATATACAATAGTTTATATATTAGTGCTACTAGTTATTTCCAGTAATGTAAAAAATCATATCACATGAGTTACGTTAAAAAGGTGACTGTATAACACTGCACCATTTAAAGTCTTTAATTAGTTAAAAATGTTCCTGTAGGGTAAAAATGAGCACATACATACAATAAAACGTACTTCACAAAAACTTCTGAAGGTGCCTGATTGTGACTTCTTACTTTCAATCTAGTTACAGTTATAAAAAATATTCCTTCAGTTAGGAATATTAGCATTTTAACAGGAAGACATGTGACTATTTCTCAGTATAGTTTTGTATTATTTCCCTTTCAGCAAATCAAGTTGGATTTTTGAGTTTAAGTCCCATCTCTGTGCGTTTGGGTCCTTTTCCTGCCTGCTGCACAGCTGAATTCATGACACCTGCTCCCAGAAAACAATTTCTGTGATGCTGCCACCAAAACTGCACTGCAGATTTGATATTGAACAGGTGATGAGCAGTGCCTGGAATGACAAGTGTCTTTGTTTTATCAGACCAGATACATTTGCTTCTCATGATTTGAGTCCTTCGGGTACCTTTTGACATGGGACATTATATAGACAGGTGTGTGCCTTTCCAAATCACGTCCAACCAACTGAATTTATCACAGGTGGACTCTAGTCAAGTTGTAAAAATTGACAGATGATCACTGGAAACAGGGCACACCTGAGCTTAATTTTGAGTGCCGCGGCAAATGCTGCTAATTAGGACTGGGTATCATCACTGATTCACAATATCCCGATTCGATTCAAATAAATTTTGACCCAGACAGACAACTCAGACAATATTGTAATTCTGATCATTTATCAGTACATATCCATATTTTTATATCTATGTAGGCTATAAAAACAAAGCTGACACTTGTGAGACTTCATCAGAGGTGTAAGCATCACAGCAGATGCCTTTGTGTCAAAATAACTGAGGACTCTGCACATCATCATCGAGCAGTCTATCGAATGGCAGTCTCCCTTGTACACAATCTTCATCGACTTTGAAAAAGCCTTTGATAGTGTCGACAGGGAGACCATTTGGAAACTGATGCAGCACTATGGATCCCGCAGAAGCTCATCAATATCATCCAACAGCTATACAAAGACTCATCCTGCCAAATCATCCACAACGGAAAACTAACAAACCCCTTCGCAGTGAAATCCGGAGTGAGGCAAGGCTGCATGCGGTCACCGACAAGCTTCCTGATCGTCATGGAGTGTATCATGAGATCCACAGAGGGCAGCAATACTGGTATCCAGTGGACCTTCACCAAACAGCTGGAGGACCTGGATTTTGCAAACGTCAGCCTTCTGTCCCATAAGCAGCAACATGCACAGTCCAAGCTTACCCGGCTCACTGAGGAGGCAGCAAAGACCAGCCTGAAGATCAACGTCAGAAAAACAGAGGTGATGTGGCTGAACAACCGACAAAAACATCCACTGCAGCTGCAGGGAGAAGACTTAGTGGAAACCGACTGCTTTATCTACCTAGGAAGCGTAGTCAACAGCACTAGAGCGCAGATGAAGACGTTAGGAGCCAGATCAACAAAGCAAGGCTTGCCTTCAGCATCCTCCGACCCATCTGTAACTCCAAAGCCTTATCTCAGCGCAGCAAGATCCACATCTTCAACACCAATGAGAAAGCAGTCCTCCTGTATGTATGTATCTTCATCAACAAGTGCTTGTGACACATCCTCAACATCAAATGGCCTGAGAAGATCTTGAACACAGACCTGTGGAAGAGAACCAGGCACAACCTGGTCAGTCAATACATCAAGAAGAGAAAATGGGGCTGGATAGGCCACACACTTCAAAAACCATCCAACAATGTCACGAGGTAAGCACTGGACTGCAACCCACAAGGAAAAAGGAAAGTGGAGAGACCCAAAGAGATGTAGAAAAGATCTGTCGAGAGCAAAGTAAAGGCAGCTGGAATGACGTGGACCCAGCTGAAGAGAACGGCCCATTGGCGTGGTGTTGTTGCTCCACCAGGAGTCTACAGGCTTGATGATAATGAACTGAGGATAAAACACAGAAAAATATGAAGAAGATTTTCCTTGCCTGGCTTTTATAGCAGATAACCCCCTTAAAAATATTCAACAGTAGGTTAAAAAAAAACAAAAAAAACATGAATCAACATATGAACATTCCCTGATGCTGCTGAAGTGAAGCAGACCAAAGTTACAGAGGTTTATTAGCGACATAGCTAAGTGTTTTGCAATTTGGCATAATCTGTAAAAGTTGCAATTTCGTCGGTATTGAACAGCAGAAATTAGGCCTTTTGTTGGAGGCCATTTATGAGAAAAAAAAAATATTGTACTCAAGGAAAGACTGGTGCGTAATAAGCAAGCGAATAATGCAGAAAACAGCAGTTTCTGATGGTAAACTGGTCCCGAAGTACACAGAGAGAGAAAGAGCCATCCAGGAAGTGTGATTTTATTATGGCGGAAGCAAAACAGCAAAAGTGCGAAGGAATTCACGATGATGTTTTTCAAATGTGAAGCGTAGTTTTGATCTTCTTTTGCTGTTGGTTTAGTGAAGAGTGACGAAATCTGCAGTTTTAAAATCTGTGAGGCTTTCAGCACCTTACAGCATGTCCGTGTACGCGACCCGATGGTCGCACTTTGTGTTTACATCTTTGATTCTGGTATTTATGGCAAAATACATTTATATTTAAAAATCAGCTCAGGATTTAATGAATCAATAAATATCGCATTACATGCAGCTTGTGGGGATTAATGGGTTAATGGGATAATCCAAATTGTCACTAGGTGTGAATGTGTGAATGAATGTGAGTGCGAATGGTTGTCTGTTGTCTGTCCTTGTGTGTTGGCCCTGTGACAGACTGGCGACCTGTCCAGGGTGTACCCCACCTCTCGCCCTATGACAGCTGGGAAAGGCTCCAGCACCCCCCGCGACCCTGATAAAGGATAAGCGGAAGCGAATGGATGGATGGATAAATATCGCATAATTCAAACTGAAATCGATTTGAATCAGGAAATTGATGTTTTAAACTCACCCCTACTGTTAATGCATGTTGTGACACAGGACCCTGGAACACACACTGGCGTTACATTTGGGCAGTAGCCCTTTTATTTGTGGCAACATAAACTGCGGTTTTCGTAGCCTTTCAGCCCAGGACACAGACACTCCTGGTTCGTTGCCACCTCACTTCTGCCCAGCCATCACTAGAGCAGAAAACACAGACCCATCGTCAATCAGCCTGCCCAGGCACCTGTTCCCACCACGCCTCCGTGCTGTCCCTCTGGGCTTCATTGCGTCACCCCTCCCCTGTAGCAGACCCGAGACCACACCTCTGCCACACTTGTTTACCTTATATTTTTATTTCATTATTTTTAATACATCTCAAGCAAAACCTTTTACTTGTGGTGATTTTTAATGTGAAAAAATTATTTAATCCATTTTGGAATAAGGCTGTAACATCAGACAATGGAGAACAAGTGAAGTGCTATACTTTCAAGAGGCACTGTAAGTAGTCTGGGCATGTACTCATCTCCGTCTCCCTTTCATTCAGGAATTCTATGCCACAGAAGGAGATGTTATTGGATCCCAGCATATCACCTAAGCAAAGACTTTTGCCTTACTTGTTAACTAAGCTCTATTGTCCTCAAGAAATGTAAGTGTGCTTGCTCCTGATAGAAGCAAAAGCCATAGTGACTTATCTGTGCTCATAAAACCAGGGGTACAGTGGAACTGTGGTAGTATTTTACAAATATATTTCGAGATTAAACACACTGTACATCTACAAAACATTACAACACTTCACTGCATTATAACACATTATAGTCTGTAACACTATATATAATGTGTTCTTAGGCAATACCATGGCTAAAAAGAGGAAATAGATCATTTTTGGCTGTTTTGGTTGTAACCCTCCTTATCGACTCATTTTTCATGCATTTTTACCTGACTCTTGGAATTACGATGAATAAACACAGCATATTTTAAGTTTTTCAGGTTTTTTGGTTTTGTTTTATTGTTTAGTTTGTATTGTTTTCTACAATAAACTTACCTTACAGACATACACATGCTTTTTTAAGAAAATACATTTGAAAGTTAAATAGACAAGTTGAGATGATAAATGTCCTTCAGGCTGGGATTTGTTGTTAACAACATATCGAAATGTGTCCTATAAATATATCCTTCTCTTATGCCAAACACGAATCCCTGCCCCTTGGCTTTGCTGGATTTATTTTTGACCATGGTACCTCATGACCTTCTGGTAAGATGGCAAATATTAACCCACGTCTGTGCAAAACTTGGAAATGAAAGGTAATCTGGTTATGATCCAAGACTTTCCATTCCATTAATCATTTATCACTTATTCATAAATCAAAAATAAAAATTTAACAGTTGTATGTTTCTTTGTTCATTAGAGATACACATTAACACTATTTATAACAAACAATTTTCTGGTATTCAATTATCATTGTTGCATTATGTCCCTAGTAGAGATATATAACACCGGTCTGGCATTAACACAAAGTCTTGCCCTGAATTTTATATCCGATGTGTGAGATTTTTACGTCCTGTAACTATACACCAGTGGCATTTCAAAACTCCTCCACATATAAAACTCATTACTGGCTATGACATCAAACTTACATTACATTGCACATGTATAAGCTTAGTATAAACTCAATTTGATATATGTTTACCTTCAAGATTGATTGGAATAAATAATTCACAAACCATGCAGGGCACTGTTGTAATTTACCACTAGGATTACTGTAGAAATTACTGGTGTGCTAAATATTTATAAGCACAATCACCTTAAAAAAGATATCACTAAAATAATTTATTTCAACAAGAAATGCAGCTAAACTGATTGTGAAAATACTGTTTATGTGTTTCTGTTGCACTTCAAAAGAAGGATTGGAGTTACTCAAAAAGAAGCAAATGCAGCAATTTAAGTATAATGTAACTAATATGTGAGATTATACTTAAGTGTATATTGTTATATACAGCCATAAACTGTCCCTTCTATATAGATAGATAGATAGATAGATAGATAGAAAGACAGATAGATATACATATATATGTATTATTTATTTAATTTGTTTACAAATATATATATTTGTAAATGTACATATTTGTATGTCTGTAAACTATATATATGTGTGTGCTTGTCTGTGTGTGCTTTTCATAAAGCTTTGTAAAATCCTACGTACATATGTAGAAAAATCAAACTTGATAATTAACTTCTTTTTTACTATATCGAGCACGTAGGTGTCAGAATTTCCTGACCAAATTGAGGAGAGCGCAAATGCTGAGGAGGCAGAGCTGTTGTGTATAAAAGCAGCAGCTCTGAGCGTTTGCTCTAACTGACAGGCATCCAAGGCGGGTGAGTACAGTAAAAGAGTCAAATTGTATGTCATTGTCAATTATTCTAATTGTTAATTAAATAATGTATTGCATGCATTAGTGTTCAGGTACTTATATTATTTTACTCACTCCAGAATTTTGGGGGGTTTGTAATAGATTGCTTGAATCTTTAAAACACTTAGAAAACAATGTAAAACTTGCACTCATCTACCTTTTACCATATTTTATAGCACCTTGATGTACACAGGGTATTAAGGAGTTTCTATTTGCATCACCTGAGGTAAATTCCATAAATCTAAAACAATGGAAATTAATTATGGGTTGTGCACTAAACATATGATTTATGTTTCACTTGGTCATATTTTCAGTCTTGATTAAAGTGCCACCATGAGCACAGACGCGGAGATGGAGCAGTACGGCCCAGCGGCCATTTACCTCCGGAAGCCAGAAAAGGAGAGGATTGAGGCCCAGACTGCTCCATTTGATGCCAAGACGGCCTTCTTTGTAACTGATCCTGGTGAGATGTATGTCAAGGGCAAACTCGTCAAGAAGGAGGGTGGTAAAGCCACTGTTGAGACAGACGGAGGAAAGGTAGATGAATAATATATGTACTTCATCTGTTTGTTAAATATATAGTGCCGAACTGTGAAAGATGATGTTGTCTGATGGATCATTAAAATCTATTCAGACGGTCACTGTAAAGGAGGATGAAATCCACCCTAGAAACCCTCCAAAGTTTGATAAGATGGAGGACATGGCCATGATGACCCACCTTAATGAGCCATCTGTGTTGTATAACCTCAAAGAGCGTTATGCATCATGGATGATCTACGTAAGTTTTCACTTTGCTGTGTGTGAAACGAAAATATCATGCTGATCTGTAAATGTTTAAATGATATTTATTCTCTATGATACAGACCTACTCTGGGTTGTTCTGCGTTGTCGTCAATCCCTACAAGTGGCTTCCTGTATATGATGCTACATGTGTAGCAGCATACAGAGGAAAGAAGAGGATTGAGGCTCCACCCCACATCTTCTCCATCTCTGACAATGCCTATCAGTTCATGCTCACTGGTAAGATCAATTCACTATTAAAACTTTTAAATGCAAATTAAAGACAGATGGCATTTAATCGTTGATGATGAATCGATGATACATCAGAACTCTGTGCTGTGTGTCTTACTTTTAGATCGTGAGAACCAGTCTGTCCTGATTACGTGAGTATAATACAAACTGTTTGCAAAATCTATAAAAACTTTAAGTTACCGAAGCTTAAATTTAACAATGTGTTCCATAAACCCCAGCGGAGAATCCGGTGCAGGAAAGACTGTCAACACCAAACGTGTCATCCAGTACTTTGCAACAATTGCAGCTCTTGGTGGTAAGAAGGCTGAGCCAACGCCTGGCAAAATGCAGGTAGATTCTTTATTCTGCATCAAAGTCTTTGTGACAGAAAAAGAAAAGATTTCAGAATTTCAGCTCACATAAACACAATATATTCTTGCAGGGCTCTCTTGAGGATCAGATTGTTGCTGCCAACCCTCTGTTGGAGGCCTACGGTAATGCCAAGACTGTGAGGAATGACAACTCCTCTCGTTTTGTAAGTGATTAAAAATGAGCTTTTTACTACTTGCTCTCATGAAAGGTAATATTAATAAAGATCTACCCATGTAGGGTAAATTCATCAGGATTCACTTTGGCACAACTGGCAAGCTGTCTTCAGCTGATATTGAAACATGTAAGTTTGAACCACAGTGCAGATTACGATATCTGTGATAGAAATTATATTTAATTAGTCACTTAAATTTATTCAAACACTGGGGAGTGAGAATCAGACTAATATATCTAGAAACAGGCTTGAGCTTAATGTGTTTGTCTGTGATGTCAAATGTCTACAGTATCTAAATGACTTTGTTGTCCTTAGATCTGCTGGAGAAGTCCCGTGTCACCTTCCAGTTGTCTGCTGAGAGGAGCTACCATATCTTCTATCAGCTGATGACAGGCCACAAGCCTGAGCTCCTGGGTATGTTGATAGGACACAAAAATTTAAATTTTCAATGCATTAAATACCAGATCTCAACAAAACCTCACAAATTTAATTTCTCCTTTCAGAGGCTCTTCTGATCACAACTAACCCTTATGACTATCCAATGATCAGTCAGGGTGAAATCACTGTCAAGAGCATCAATGATGTGGAGGAGTTCATTGCAACAGATGTAAAATCACATTTGGCTTTGGATTTGGATTATTTTTTCGTTTAAGAAGTAATTGTTAATTTTGTCCTTGTGTGTTTTAGACTGCTATTGACATCTTGGGCTTTAGTGCTGATGAGAAGTTAAGCATCTACAAGCTGACTGGTGCTGTGATGCATCATGGCAACATGAAATTTAAGCAAAAGCAGCGTGAGGAGCAGGCTGAACCTGATGGCACTGAGGGTAATTGAGAAAATAATATAATTTTTATTGTGAAAGTTTTCTATACTTGAAATACTGCATATTAATTAGGTATTATACTCCAATCCAACAGTGGCTGACAAGATTGCGTACCTATTGGGTCTGAACTCGGCTGATATGCTGAAAGCTTTGTGCTACCCAAGAGTCAAGGTTGGCAATGAGATGGTGACCAAAGGTCAGACCGTCCCACAGGTAATTTAAAAAAGGGAGACTTGTATTATCATATTATAATTATAAACATTATAGCTGTATTCATATGGTTTTGAATAATTATAAATTCTTGTTCGCCAGGTCAACAATGCTGTTTCGGCTCTGTGCAAATCTATCTATGAGAAAATGTTCTTGTGGATGGTTATCCGTATCAATGAGATGCTGGACACAAAGCAGCCCAGACAGTTCTTCATTGGAGTGCTGGATATCGCTGGGTTTGAGATCTTTGATGTGAGCACTTGAAACATTTCACCACATTTCTTAAACTTTAAAGACGTTATTGCCATGAAGTTAGACATGTTTGTACTATTACAGTTCAACAGCTTAGAGCAACTCTGCATCAACTTCACCAATGAGAAACTGCAACAGTTTTTCAACCATCACATGTTTGTCCTGGAGCAAGAGGAGTACAAGAAAGAAGGCATTCATTGGGAGTTCATTGACTTTGGTATGGACTTGGCTGCCTGCATTGAGCTTATTGAGAAGGTAAACAGCTGCTCTGGAAGAAATGTACATGTGGGTGCATATGTTATCTCTGTTGAAATTCACAAATTTTAATATGATAAATTTGATATGGTAACATTTTCTCAGCCAATGGGCATCTTCTCCATCCTTGAAGAGGAGTGCATGTTCCCCAAGGCCTCTGACACAACGTTTAAGAACAAGCTGCACGATCAGCATCTTGGCAAGACCAAAGCATTTGAGAAACCAAAGCCTGCAAAGGGCAAGGCTGAGGCACACTTCTCCCTGGTTCACTATGCTGGTACAGTGGACTACAATATCACTGGCTGGCTGGACAAGAACAAGGACCCACTGAATGACTCAGTTGTGCAGCTCTACCAGAAGTCTTCAAACAAACTGCTGTGCTTCCTGTACGCAGCCCATGCCTCAGCAGAGGGTAAGAAACAAAGATGATCTGAGTAATCACAAAACAAGTATCCAGTATAGATGATTTACATATGCATATGCATGCATATTTGAATAATGTGAATATGTAATACGTAAAGTTTTGAATATACAGTTATAATAGAAATTTCAAATTATACCTACCAGAAAAGGAGCAAAATTAATACAATTGGTAAATTTGTATTATTAGCTTTAAGGGTAGTAATCAATAAATGTACATTGAAATTCTAGATGATGGACATTTTTTATACTCAGAAATATGAAACTCACTCACATAAAATTAATATGAATAAATTACTGTTCTGGGGACTACATTTAGTTATTAAAAGACTACACTTTTAAACATTTCTCCATTCCCACTTTTTAAATTCAATGTTTATGAAAACAGAGGCTGCTGGTGGTGGTGGTGGCAAGAAGGGTGGTAAGAAGAAGGGTGGTTCCTTCCAGACTGTCTCTGCGCTTTTCAGAGTACGTATAGATTTATATTATTAAGAAGTTTAAGAGCTTTTATATAAATATTTTAGCCTAATGATGCTGATCTACAGGAGAATCTGGCCAAGCTGATGACCAACTTAAGAAGCACTCATCCTCACTTTGTCCGTTGCTTGATTCCCAATGAGACAAAGACCCCAGGTAAAAAGCCCACAGTACTATTAAATGCACAAAACATTGTAGTATTGTAATATTAAGAAAAAGTTTTGGGGAAAAAATCAATTTCTGACTCTCAGGTCTTATGGAGAACTCCCTGGTCATCCACCAGCTGAGGTGTAATGGTGTACTGGAGGGCATCAGAATCTGCAGGAAGGGTTTCCCCAGCAGAATCCTCTATGGTGACTTCAAGCAGAGGTGACAGCACATTACAATATTGGAAAGGAAAAATGGTTTCATTGTTCTTGTAAAGGGGAAACTTGAATATAATGAAAGAAAAATCTAAGTAACAACATGATTTTCTCTTAAAGATACAAAGTGTTGAATGCCAGCGTCATCCCTGAGGGACAGTTCATTGACAACAAGAAAGCTTCAGAGAAGCTGCTTGGCTCCATTGATGTGGATCACACACAGTACAAGTTTGGGCACACAAAGGTACACTTTGTTAAATTAATAGACATAAAAAAAAAAACACTGTTCATCTGTACTTGTACTTATGCTTTCAATGATTAAATAGGTGTTCTTCAAAGCTGGTCTGCTGGGCACTCTTGAGGAGATGAGAGATGAGAAACTGGCTGAGCTGGTGACCATGACTCAGGCTCTCTGCAGAGGATACGTCATGAGGAAAGAGTTTGTGAAGATGATGGAGAGGAGGTAACATTATCATACTAAACTCTATCGTATTCTCTTTTTTATTTCCTTCCTCATATTAAGATCCTACGACACTAAAAGTAACACTCTCATGTTTGGTTTTGTAGAGATGCTATCTTCTCCATCCAGTACAACATCCGTTCTTTCATGAATGTCAAGAACTGGCCATGGCTGAAACTGTACTTCAAGATCAAGCCTCTTCTGAAGAGTGCTGAGACTGAGAAGGAGTTGCAGAACATGAAGGAGAACTATGAGAAGATGCAGACAGACCTGGCTGCTGCTCTGGCCAAGAAGAAGGAACTGGAAGAGAAGATGGTCAGCCTGCTGCAGGAGAAGAATGACCTGCAACTTCAAGTGGCTGCAGTAAGTAATAAAAAAAAGAACAAATATATATGCCTATAATGTCTTGTATGCATGTTAGCTGATTCTGACCGTGTATGTGGCACAACAGAGTATAGATTTTTTCAAATGAATAATGAGCAATTGCCAAGACACACAACATGACAGCACTAAATTATACATTGTTTTCTGTTCCATGTATTATAGGAAGTTGACAATCTCTCTGATGCTGAAGAAAGGTGTGAGGGGCTTATTAAGAGCAAGATCCAGCTCGAGGCCAAACTCAAAGAGACAAGTGAGAGACTGGAGGATGAAGAGGAAATCAATGCTGAGCTGACTGCTAAGAAGAGGAAGCTGGAGGATGAATGCTCTGAGCTGAAGAAGGACATTGATGACTTGGAGCTCACCTTGGCCAAAGTGGAGAAGGAGAAACATGCCACAGAAAACAAGGTTCAGTTCGTACTGATTGTAGTGTTCACTAAAATAAAAAAGCATAATATGTTTATATGCTGTAATGTCTTATTTTGGTATTTTAATTTTTTAACTTTGATGGGGAATTCAAATTTATTATTTATTTCAGGTGAAAAACCTGACAGAGGAGATGACATCTCAAGATGAGTCAATTGCCAAGTTAACTAAGGAGAAGAAAGCCTTACAAGAGGCCCATCAGCAAACACTGGATGATCTCCAGGCAGAGGAGGACAAAGTCAACACTCTGACCAAGTCCAAGACAAAGCTGGAACAACAAGTTGATGATGTAAGAAAACTATAATAATTGATAGGTTTGTAGCTTGAACCTATTCGCTGGAACGTTGAAGACAATATAATTACACAGCAAAGCAAGACACGAAGTAGGCAAAGTTCTTCATGTTTCACGTGCACGGGAGAGAACTGGACAAACGCCGTTCCTTCGCTTGACCCCAGTTGCTCTCGTCCGCTCCCCCGTAACACTGCTCTTTTATTGAGGTTACATGAATATGCATAGGTTCATTAACATACGCCGCCTATATACAAACAAAGAGTACCTTGCCTGTGCGGTGTGTGTGTGTGTGTGTGTGTGTGTGGGTCAGAGTGTGACCCCATAAATGACTTCCCTAAACCATCTAAACAAAAGGCACTTAGACTAAAACAGATATAGC